CAGCGCAGCCATCCGGGTGCCTTTCCACTTCAAGTGGCCGGTAAAGTTCATTACACACTAGATGAAGTTCAGCTAACAATTTCATTTAGTAAGATGATCTGAGTAAATGACTAATAAGACAACCATTTTTGCATTACTGCTTATTTATTCAGGTGCCAATAAGTTTTAACTAAAACAATCCATATAAAAGACCATAAACAAGACCATGCAGCAGTCTGGAGTTGTCAGTTCTTAAGAAATATAAGTGAAAGTCAATGGAAGACAATGGAGAATGTTTTCTTCTGTTTGAGTAAAACATATTTGAAGTTTCTAACATCTGGAATAAAATCGTGTTCTTTTCAGGGGACATTTTCTCTTATTATTGAGGCATGGAATGCAGAGTCTCCCAAAGAGCATCATGACTACACAGGTGGGCTACACAGTCTGATGGAAAGCAAAGACAGACATTCAGACATAAGATTTTTTTTTTTAATTAATATATTCAGTTACTACTTCAAGCTTAATATTTTCTTTCATTTTCCACAACAGAGAATCAGAACAACCTGATCAGTCGTTTAGCAACACGAAGGCGATTGGCGATTGGAGAAGACTGGTCTCAGGATGTTCATTTTGGCGATCAGAGCGAGCTCCGTTACTCGTATCATGTTTTCTGTGATGAATTTTACTTCGGCGAGGCATGTTCGGATTACTGCCGTCCCCGTGACGACACGCTGGGACACTACACCTGCGATGAGAACGGCAACAGGGAATGCCTGGAGGGATGGCAGGGAGACTATTGCTCTGACCGTGAGTACCACCTATGTGTCTTTATGGGGTAGTATGTGACTCTGGGACTCTGAAAAGAAGCACTCCCACTCCCTCTCCTGATCACTCTGTATTTATGTGTGATTGTGGTTTGTGTGTGTTTGAACCTGAGCAGCAGCAATACATCCCCTTATCTCTCAAATCTTTGTGTGCATGTGTTGTCTGATGGAAGCTGAGCTGCTCCACTGGAGCTTCTACACTTATTTTGTTCAGCCGAACAAAGAAAACCTACAGATACATACTAGAGGGTCGTTCTGTGTGTGTGTGTGCACGCTTGCCACAGCTCAAAATACAAAAGAGTGCATTACCTCTGTCAGCTCACCAGCTGCTGGCCCCAACACTTAACACACCCATTCATCTGC